TGGAAGGGGGCGGGGGTAGCCATGGGTGGAACATCATGAACAGAGTTGAAGAAAGCCACATCACTGAACACGGAAATCACCCCATTGGTCCCGACAGGTGACTGCACACAAAGAGAAATGAAGGGTCAGCTCTGAAGGGCTTTCATTTCCCCCACTTTCCTGCTTATAAAAGTAATATCCCCTTCATCCGCCACTATATGAGTGAGTTGGCACGATAGAAGGATACATAAAAGCACGGTCCGCGATAAAAAGCCTAGGTGATTTTGCAGAAATGTGGAAAAATTCGCCAAGTGAACCATCTATGAAGAGAAAATGCCAAAGGGAACGTTGGAAACGCATTCGTCAGGCCTCCTCTAGCCTCAAACAACTGTAGAGGTAAAAGACCGCGCGCTGGGACAATTCCCGTCGGCTGATTCCCAGTAATGAACCCTATGACTCTACAAGAGACATTGAATGCATCCACTCCATGATACTTGCCCGGGAGCATTACTTTTGGCTGGAAGGCCGACTTTGGAGGCGGAGTCTGGAGGCGGAGTCACTGGAAAAAGGATGTACCACTGAAGCAACTTTGCGCCTTAATCCCTTTACCGTACAACTTTCCGCCGCGAAACTGGCACAGGTTGTCCACTCCGGACCGCACTACCTTCCCACATAACCTCTTGCATTTTCATAGGTCATCGCGGACCGCTCCTTATAAGGCACATATAGGGACTACTCATAGGAATCAAATGGGAGAGGTGGTCCGGACTTCGACGAACAATCTTGTACCTATTTCGCGTCAGAAAGTTGCGCGTTAGAGGCGCTAGTCGCAGTGTTGTTTGTCTTGGCGACACCGCCCTGCGTTGGTATCAGTCATGCCGCTCGGTTGCTCTTTCGGTGCTCTTAGCTTACCATTAGTCTCTTATGCGAAAAAGTCTCTGAGTACTGAAGAATCTCTGCTTTTTGCCAGGAAAAGGACTTGTCAGAGTTGTTTCGCACAGTTTTCTTTACTTTTGTCTTAACGGAGCCAGACTAGCACATACTTCTGTTTTGTAACCCCGCTACCTACGTTTTTCGCCGGCCAATCGCGAAATGTACCCTTGAACTTAGAAAGTAGAAATTTCCAGTACCGAACTCACTTGCAATCTGTTTATTTGACTTGGCGTCCTATCACATCCAATGATTAACGACATGTGTGATTTGCCTTGACCATCTTGAAAAGCAACATGTGGAGCATCCGATTTTTGAGTTGCTGTCGGGTCAGTCATTGCCTTGCGCTGTAATATGCCGTAGTCCTTAACATTTACTGAAGCTGTAAAGTCGTGATGTGTGAAAACAGCACACTAGCTCCGTCGCACAGGCCGATGCTTGGGAGCAACACCGGTTGAAGACAATCGAACCCTGCTTCCTCTGGTAAGAGACTTCTCTGATAGTCGGACTTTTAGGGATTATGATAAGCTCAGAACCAAGAGGTTGGTACACCCATACACTCATTATTCCGAGCAGGCATTCAGTGCATGGCGCACTCCGAATGAGGCAGCTATTCGGCTTGGAAGGTTGACCGAATATAGTGGTCACCTGGTACTCAGGTTGGTAGTTTTATGCTACCTGTATCTCTTACCAGATGACCTCCCATCCCCTTGATGTAAGGAGATGGTTATGTCTCTCCCAGCAAGGACCGAAGCTGTGGGATGTGTTCCTGACTGGCTCCTCCTTCAGACAGTGTCTAGCTGTCTCATGGGCCATCACTTGAGCATCACACTTCAGTGTCCACAAAACCGAGAAGGGAGTCCAGGAGTGGTTAGCCAGACGTTCTTGCTCAGCATGTGGCAAGCGTTCACCACGTTTTCCCCAGCGAGGATTTTGTGACCGGAACAAGGGGAGCATGTTAGTACAGATGCCCCCCCGTCGACAAGAGGCGCCGGACGTCCAGGCGAACAACAAGGTCTATGGAAGAGAAAGATAAAACACCCACCGCTGGCATTAGTCCATGTCCCATTTTCAGTTTTTCTTGATATCGTCGAATAATCGATTTCACATCGGGTGCCATCGCTACGGATGGCTCTTGTATTTGTGATGCGTTAAGGGCATTCTAGAAGAGAAAATATTTGACGGAATATTTTCGCGCCTTATTGTTCCTTTCCAAATAGTCTCTTCACAGTCATTCTCCACCAGGAGCGAGGGGGTGGGACGAGAAGTGCCATTTTAACAGGTGTAGACGACTAATGTTGTTCTTGGACATTGTTATACGATTGCCGTCGTATCCTACTTGTTTATCTTCTCTGAACACATTGGAGGCTGTTTTCCTAATGGGAGCCGCAAACCCAAACTGAATATGAACTTCTGCTGTAAAAGGCTGCTTCGACTGATCCGTTAAGTGGTTGACCTCATGTTTTCAGAATCCGGCCAGAATTCGTTTTAGCATAGTTGCTTTCGCTGGAGGCGCTAAGGCGTGTCAAAACTGCGTTCGGCGTGGCGTCAACCAATTGTTGTCGCTTGTCCGGTGGAAATTGAGCTCTTGCCGCTCCATACACAGCCCCCTGACACGCCAAAGCGTTTGCAGCGAAAACAACGATAAGCTACGCTATGAGTACGCTCCCCCGCAAAAGAGAACCTCCAACTTCGTTCAGAGAAGACCGCAGCAGATATGGAAGATGGATTCGCAATATCTGTCCAGACACACCAGACGGTTGATATCACTTTTTAAGCGGCCACTTCAACCTACATCCTTTCGTGCTCAAAAGTAACGGTTACGCCGGCTAAGAGGGGGGCAGTCCGGACGCGGAACTGTTGCCCGATTCCTTGGCCAAGGTATCCGCCTTCGCTGAAATGCAAAAAGTAATGTTTCTAATTGAACTCGACCTCCATCATGTTGATGGCTTCAGGCTCCATAGGCCGTTCTATGATCATATCCACTTCTCCAGAATATTTCAACGCTCTGACTATCATCGTTTTGCATACATCCTTGTCGGTGACAGGCATTGAATTCACATCGCAAACACGATCCTTTACTTTCATGATATCGGCAACCATTGAACCTGAGTGTTGAAAGTATTATGGGTGGAGCAGACGTACGGTGGGGGCAAAGAAAGCTCCTTCGCTCCTAAAGCGCACCGTAATAACTAAA